TTTTTTTTTTTTTTTTAAATAATAAACACGGTGAAGAAACTTTCCTCCTCTCCCTCTTCTCCATCCCTGGGGTGTCCCAAAGCCTTCTCCCTGCGGGTTTGTTGCGGGATCAAGCCCGTTGCATCCCCTCCCAAAGTGCTCTCCCAGCGTGGCTGTCACAATGCCACTTCTCCAGCCTGAAGTGGCTGTGCTTTCCCTGCACATTGGGCAATCCGAGTTCTTTAAATGAGCTGCCTGGAAGCTGTGGATTAGTGCTGACCTCAAGGGTGCTCTTGTAAACTCTTACCCGGGGAGCCCTGATTAGAGGGAGCCTTTTCTTCTCCTGAGTGGTGCCTGAATTGGTGGCACTTAGGAACATTACCCTCGTGCCTTCAAGAAGCACGCAATCATGTAATTATTTTATCATCTCTGAATTGCTGAATACTTTCCCCATGCCGGGCTAAGCAACTTGTGTATCAGAAAATCTACTTAAAAAAAAAAAAAAAAAAAAAAAAGCCACTAAATAGCAGAACAGTCGCACTGAGGAGCAATTTTCTCTCCCTCAAACCTAATTTCTTTTTACGCCAGAGAGAGACGCCCTTCCCCGCTTACCCTGCGACTCCCAACATCACCAAACCCTCCAAGGAGTAACTGCCACAGCCCAAATATCGCTGCATGCATTAGATTTGCAAATGAACTACTTGCTGAAGGAATCATCACAGCCGCTGATGTGTGTTAAGTACGATCTGTTTTCGTTCTGGTTGCAAAAGTCCTAGAACAGAGGTGATCCGTGCATGCAAGCAGGGCAGACTCCAGCACAAATACCAAAGTCTCGGGAAGCTAATCTGTCCAAATTTGACTCTGACTCAACTGCAGCAGTGAACAAACATTATTTGCAACAGTTTCCTCAAAAACAACCCCCTCAAAAAAAAGGCGTTACAAAGGCTGCACACAGTTCACATAAATAAAAGCAACATTTAACTGTAGCACTATCAGATGTCTCTGCCTGCACAGAAAGATTTTAGAGTCGTTTTCCCCACCTGGTTTACATTAATTGCCCGTGACCTTCTCTGTTATCCTGGTACAAAGGCATTAAGGCCAGAACAAAATAGGATAAGAACATATTTATTCAAGTAGCACTGCATGTCTACTTTGTACCACGGTAAATAAGAGGAGAATGTGAGGCAGGACTTGCTTCAGCAGTCCTTGCTATTCCTCTCCAAAAGGGTTGTATAAACTCTTGCAGTCAATGAGGCCAGTGACAGCCAAATGTAAATAGAGGAAATTACACAAGGTCAGCTTGGGGGAGGCCAGAAGCCCTCAGACCGTAGGTATCTGTCCTTTCTAAAGCAGAAAGGAAGCTGGAAAGTGGGGGGTTGTTTGTTGGTTTGGGGTCTTTAAAAAAAAAAAAAAAAAAAAAACCACCAAAAAACAACCAAAAGACAAACCCACTTTTTCCATTTGAAATTAAAAGGAAGGGGAGCCTCTTGTTCTTTTTGCACTTATTTTAGCTAAGTCGACACCAGGTTCTTAAGGGGACAAATGAATCTTTAAAAATAGCTCAGCTGGTTCTGGAAAAAAAGCAAAGTAGGTGCTTACAAAACAGCCTGAATGTTATAACGCGTCCCTTCAGATGTTACTTGTTACCATCTGAGATCATCGTGTTCCAGCTGCCTGTAGTAAACATGACCTGAATTCTCACAGTGATGCAAGCCCAGCAGCAGCCACCCCGTCCTTCCTTCCTCTTCAGAACTCATCCTAAAGATGCTTCACAGGTTGGGTTTAGGGAAACATCCCTTTAACTTATGCCTTGGTTTGAGGGCTGGGGGAGCAAGCGCTGCTGCCCAGAGGGATTGTGTTATACGTGATGTCCACATCAAAAGACAGGACCCTTCAGGAAGAAATTCAGGAGGAATTTCTTCATGGAAAGGGTGGTCAGGCCTTGGAAGGGGCTGCCCAGGGAGGTGGGGGAGTCACCATCCCTGGAGGTGTCCAAGGAATGACTGACTGGGCATGGCACTCAGTGCTCTGGTTTAACTGACATGGTGGTGTTTGGTCAGAGACTTGATGATCTTGGAGGTCTTTTCCAACCCTGGTGACTATGATTCCATGACCCCTGGTTCCCACTGGGACCCTGCACCAGACACACACAGGAAAGGCTCCTGGGCATTCCAAACTGCTGCTGGTTCCCAAAGCCAGTTTGCAGCCGTGATGCCCTTGTGCTTCCCACCAATCCAGGCCTCCTTTGAGCATCTGGCAGCAAACCACACAGCTTCCCCCTCCCCAGTTTCATTCCCATGGACTTCTACTTGCAGGATCTGCAAATCTGCGGCCGCACCAGCATAAAGCTCACTCTGCAAATTGCAGTAAGTCATCTAATAAATCAAATGCAATCCCCCCCCTCCCTCCCTTCCTACTGCAGTCGACGAGCTCCAGTTACAACAATTTGTGGTAAAATATTACTCACCAGCACTTTGGCCCATGCGAGGCAGCTCTGCCTCGGTACAGACAGCCCCTAAATCACAGCTTTGTCACAGAAGCCACAAGCATAACCAAAAGACTTATTACACGCAGACACTCCGAGGAGAAGGCCAAGGAGACAATAGTTCCCTTCGCTTCCTTTTGTCAGAGCTTTCATTAATGTCGTGAACGTCTTTTTTCTGCTTTGTACACTGCTGGGTGCTTGCCACGCTCAGCCTGGCACAGGAGCAGCCCAAACCAGCCCCAAGGAGCCTGAGAGATGGCAAACCAGAGTGCTGAGCATCACTCTGTGTTCCTGCTCTCCCAGCAGGGCTGGTACCCCCAGTCCTGCCCCTCTGCTCTCCTGATTCCCTTTAATCTCCACCAGTTTGCCCATGTGCTACGGGAAGTTATGAAAATTAGGCATTTTTAGCACTTCAAGGCTTTTGCCTTTTGCTGTGATGTGGCTGATAGTTTTTTTTTTTTTCACATGTTGCAAAATGAGACAAAGACCCAAAATCACCAGTGAAGAGCAAAGGCCATTTTTGTGATTATACCTGGGGTTGGAGGATGTCAGGAGACAGGCACGGGGGGCACAGGGCAGCACCAGCACTGCCAGGGGGGGCTTTCCATTCCCACTGCTGCCCATGCACAGTAACAGGGGCATGATCCTGCCTACACTGAGCACCCTCCTAAAATCCTGCTGAGCACCCTCCCAACCACCACCCTGGGATTGAGGGAACAGGGTCAACTCCCCTCACCCTTTCCTAAGCCCCTCACTCCACCTCCCTGCCATGATGAGGAGGAAGGTTTCCCTCAGAGGGCATAAACTGTAAATTAATGACTAAGTAACGCAGTGACAGATGAAGATACGTGAAAAGGTCCAATTCTGACACCACCACTCACACAAACGTGCCACTGGAGCCTTTTATCTGCTCCAGGCAAAGCCCTTGGCCAGAGCCA